CCATGAAACGTTTTGAGCTTAATCAATTAATTTGCAGTGCCCATGATTCTCTTCACGTTTCCAACATAATGTTGAGAAGGAAATAATGGATCATGAACTCCTCTGCATCTGATACCAAATGAAAACAACGCGTTCCCAAGCAAGTTCTCCCCATGGAAAAATACATTTGCTGAGCAGAAGCACACTCTACTGTCATGCACGTTGTCCTCTTTAATCAAGAGATTCCAAGTGGGGTCATGACGTTTTTTTACCCTGGGGTGTCTGATCAGCTAGACCAATTTGGCAGAAACAAGAAATTATCAGTCCAAAGTGAAAAGGTAAGGAAGAAAATAAAATGTGTTGGTGCGTGAAACGTAGACTTGAAGGCATGAAGGGGAGCATGCCTATGAAGATAAAGGCTGAGCCAGTGGATTGTCCGCATTTCCATGCGCAAGAAAATTGGTGGCATCCCATCCAAATATAACTTCAAACTTGGACTGTGACTTGCTGTTGTGATCCGGTCTTCGGGATGATGGTGAATTGATATTATTATTATTGATAACCAGAGAAATTTCAGCTTTCAGACATGCTGGGAAACTGTCTTCAATTGCAATACTACTCAACACAATTGCACTGCTGGAATGATACCGATGGCTCCACTTACAAATAGAGGAAATTTGGGTGTCCACTGTCCACCCTGCAGGAAAGATTTTGGCTTTGGAATTAACTATGGTTAATAAATTCGTGGCTCGTTTCTCTCTCTCTCTCTCTCTCTTTTTTTTTTGTTCGTTTTTTTATGGTAGTGCACCTTAATGTTGGTAATATTGATAAGGGAGAACAAAAGGGTACGTGCAAATCAAACCCTTCTTCTAGAACCAAAAAATGCAAAGTATATCAAACATTAATGCCACTAACTGCATATTTGTGTCATTTTATGGCTAGAAGTTTCAAAGTGGTTCTGGAAACTCTCAAGGAAATCTCTTTCAGTCCTGCATGCTTCCACCATTTACGCCTCTGTGAAAAAGTACTCATGATCTTCAAGAATTTTTTAAGAATATGAGGAAAAGTGTTCACAGCACACATATTTTGCGCATTTGTGGTCGGATCCAGTACCCAACTCCTGCATAATATATATATGTCCATCGGGCATGAGACCATATAATGTGGACAATCTATCTATTAGTCGGAGATTGTCTCCACTTGCTGAATTTCCAGCTAACAAAGATGCTAAGCTACAATAGTAGGGTTAAAAATAACAATGAGTTTATGTTGACAAACCAGCTCAAATGAGGAAAAGAAGTGCTACATCCTGTATGAAAATAGTCAACATTCGTGGGTCCTACTGACTAAGGATTATTGCACTAAGATTTACTGGATAGATCTCCATGTGGAGTTCAATTTTTGACCATCATTAGTCCTGTTGTTGGACCTTGATAATCCACCTTCTAGATAGCTTAAGATTTGAGGTTTCTTCCTTCTTTTTTTTTCCTTGTCAATATAAACAGAACAAAGAGCAGGCACATGGAGGAGCTAGTAGTGAAAGTGAGAATGTGGGACTCGACTTTGAACTGAGAATATTAGCATTCATCAAAATGCATGTCAACTTTCTGCAACTGCAACTTTGTGGGTTTAAGCTGGGAAACTTGAAAGATCATCTACAATGCTATTGGTGGTTAGTACATTATCCTTCTATTATGATTAACAATCAGAGATGATCGCACAACGGAAGGGTTGACACGACATCGTATATATATATATATATATACTGTGGCATTGTACAAGATACCCAACCTTAAATCCCCTATCGCAAAATATACCAATCCTCTTATTCCACGACATCAATTGTTGGGAGATTATGAACTGTCGGTGGTTCCAGTGGTTTGATACAATGCCCCAGAGATTGGAACCAGAATAGCCACATATAACATCAGTGTAACAACCCCTTTTGAACACAGCAAGGAGATTTGACATCGTAAAAGTTATAAACGGGCTCTCTCAACAACCGTACGAATTTAGCTGTTAAAATGGCATTGGGTGGGAAGGTATAACATCCCATCTTCGACATGTAATAAGTTGATGCTTGAAATGCAATTTGTCTGCAGGATTATGACCAGTGGTGGGGGATGACTGCTAGTCTCAATTAGGTTTGGGTTTCCAAGTCATTTGCTGCAACTAATAGGCACATGCATGGTTTCTTATGAGCAAGACAATGCTTATTTTCTGTTGTTATAAAGCGCCGAGCCTTTTAATCAAACATCATAGGACCAGCACAGCAACAGTGGAGAACAGTGATAAGATTGAGAAGCCAAGGAGAAATTTCAACACGCATATGGAGAATCAACGTCAAACAATTATTAGGCTTCGGGTCTAAAGCTAGTTGGCCAATACCCTAATAATATATCATTTTGAGAGTGCGTAGACTAAGATTACTGCATCAGCTCTTAGGACCAAACATAGTTTAATTAGTACTAGTTGGAAATGTTTAACACAATTTTCTCATCTGGCATAATCATGATCATGACTTTAGTAGTTGTCATTTCATTCATTGTTCATCTGTCTCCATCTTTTCTTACGTCTTCCTCCGACAAGAGTTCGCTTATAAAAAATGATTATTAATCACGATATTATTAAACGATTCACACAAATATGAAAATCCCTAAAGTCGATCAAGCAGGCAAGTAGTTTGTATTCGTGCTTAATTAATCGCTTAGTATATAATTTTTCCTTTCATTAAATCCATGCACGTCTTCGCGGAAAGAAAAAGTACACGCATGTTTTGTACTTCACTAAAATTAGAGTACTACATACTACAAAGTAAAAAACAAAGGGTAGACCCTATGCATGGTAGTAGTAAAGGAAAGGTTCAAGCCAAATGCTTTGTACTTGTAGTAGCCAGATAATTAACTTGTTCCAATGATTTGGAAGTGTTTACAAGTTTAAACACGAATAACCATGCATGCACGCATGTGATATCACACAAGCATTCATTCATTCATGAAGATGCCTCATGCATTCATTGCATGTTCTACATAAATTGGTACAATGAAACACAATAATTAAACAACTTGTAAACTAACATAGAAATTGGAAAGTAAGAATCCAAACAGGGTAATATATCACAATAATTAAGATTACCATTAATGCTGACTTTAGAGACAAGAAGCGTGCTAGTACTGAACAACATAGGGGTTGGCCCCGAGATCTTGGATCCACTACTACAGGAATTTTCACGTAAGCATAATAAGATTGGAAGGATGTTGCCAAGGCTATAAATATTAAGTTGAATGTGACATAGACCTAAGCACAGGCTTCTATCTCCAACCACCAATTATAGATACTTGCCATCATTAACATGGAAAAAGGTGTGACCTAATTTCAATAATCAAATGCAGTCTATTACTCCTGTGGTCCTGCTCAAATGGTTTCTACCGTATATCATTATTCATAATTTGATTAGGGAGTAGTTCCCTAGGGTAGATTACGAACAAAAATCTCAAAGGTTGGCAAAAGGGTCGGAAATTTAAACGTAAAAAATGGTTTTTTTTTTTCAGCGTTTGATACTGTGATTCGAAGAATAGCAGCAGTGTACAAGTAGAATAGAAGATGGATGGATTGTGTCAGGATGTACAGAATCATGAGAATATGATGAGATAAAGTAGCACTGGAAACTATATATATAGAGTTGAGCATTAACCGTGTCTAGAAATGACAAACTTTCAGTTTGATTTTAATCCGGCCTGTCCTTTTTGTTTACAAAGTGGATGAAGTTGGTGATTCAAATTAATTTTCAAGGTCAGCAGCGGCTTGGACTCTAAAAATACAATCATGGGACATGGATCTCCCAGCAGCATCAAAAAGATTAACGGGTGTGATCTTCAAATTAAATGGCAATAACAGTAAAAGAAAGAAAATACTGGCACCACCCCAAGATTAATGATATATATTAACCTATTTCTTATGTTGTTAGTTTGAATGCAAAGGAGAGTCCTATAACAGAAGAATAGACGAGCCCAGCAAAAGCACAATACATTGCTCATGAACAAGTACTGTCGTATGATTATCGTACAATAAAAAAGCTGAAGTCATTGTCAGTCGCTTGGTTACTGCCGCATTAGTTCAGAGAGGACAATTTACATGTCACTAATCTGCTTCTTCCAAAGTAACATTAACAACTTAACCCCCCCGGCACCATCCTTTCCAAAGCAAGATCGATTGAAATGAAATCCCATCAGCCAGTTTCAAACGATATGCAATCCCAAGGATGGCTAATAAACTGCCAAACTTTTGGAGCAGCAGCTTTGCAAGATGAAGACAAGGTAAACCGAATTTTTTTGGGTTGAAGTCCCTGAATTTAGTGAGAAGGTTCAATTTTGGGGTCTACTCGTTTCATCTGTCCATTTGGTCCTAAAAAAATGTTTCCTTGAAAGCATCATCTCACCCGTACAATAAAGTCTTATGCGTCTGCTTCTACTTGTTAAACATGTCCAAATTTCCTTACCCATCCATTTATTCTTCTGGTTTAATCAATGAGCTTTTTGTACAACTCATGGATTTAATCCGTAGCGTTCTTTCTTTGCATTTATAGCCGTCACCAGAAACTGACGGTGCCTCAATTTGGTCGGAATCCATTCGAGAATACAAGCGGACACCCAATTTGAGAGAGATTTCTATCTAAGTACTAAATATACTGATGTAAAAAAAAAAAAGAGAGAGTTTTGAGTGTTGGAAGTGAGTTTTTTGGATTAGGTAAAAGGCCCTTTACGTAATTAACCTTTTGTTTGAGGGCCTAGCCTAGGGGAGGAAGAACATAATCTTCGTAGAGACATCATATTAATGACATGATAATGATTATATTGCCATATTACTGCACGAAAAGCTTCTTCATGTGAAGAAGATAGGCAGTGGATTTAGGTATTATAACATTTGAGCGCGATACTTGTGAAGAGGATGTGGATATGTTCTCACATATATAGCAAAATGACAAACCACAAGGGGGGGAGGGGGGGAGGGGTCGTTTAGGATGTGGGAACCTCTTTTTTAATCACACAAGGGAATAACACGTTTAACAGTGCTCTATTACACAACTCTACTACTCTCCAGTCCCCAGATTGAGAACTCTCACTAATATCTCAAAAAGTGATCATCGCCCCCTGCACTATATAGCGCCCCCCTCTTTATCCTTTTGGACACGAGCCTCATTTTGTGCGTGTATAAGACAGTGTGTTCCTGTCTCTGTTGTGCGTCTGTGTGAGCATGCACATCTGTTGGTTGCATGGTAGAAAATAGCATCTTCTCTAGTCAATATTCCTTGATTCTAATCCTTTACTGCATCAGACTTCATCTTCCTGACCTATCAAAAGTCAAGCAAACAAGGAGAATACACAAAAAGGAATCAGATGGAAGCCGAGCAAACCAAAAAGAGCCCGACAGTTTCAGAGGTACAATTTGCTAAATCTCAAAAACTTCCAGCATATCAAATAAAATGGCTAAAGAAATTACACTGACATGCCTCTTTTTCCTTGTTTTGCCAGGTAATTGAGGAACTAAAGAAAATGAAAGACATAAGTTTTCCCATATTTGCAATCGGCTTGGCTGGCTACCTGAAAAACATGATTTCAGTGACATGCATGGGAAGGCTAGGGAGCCTCGAGCTAGCAGGTGGAGCACTAGCTATTGGCTTCACCAACATCACTGGTTACTCTGTACTATCTGGTCTAGCCATGGGAATGGAGCCACTATGTAGCCAAGCTTTTGGCTCAAGAAATACAAGCATTGCGTCTCTCATTCTACGAAGAACAATTCTTATGCTACTTGTTGCATCCTTGCCTATTGGGTTGTTATGGATCAATCTCAAGCCTCTGATGTTACGTCTCCACCAAGACCCAGAGGTAGTAGATATTTCAAGCATCTACTGCCGGTTTGCAATCCCGGATCTTATTGCTAATAGCCTCCTTCATCCTATACGCATCTACTCACGAAGCAAGGGTATTACATGGCCACTCCTATGGTGCACTTTGCTTGCCATAATTCTTCACCTCCCAATCACCACCTTCTTAACCTTCAATCTTCATCTCGGAATTCAGGGAATTGCAATTTCGATCTATGTTACCAACTTTAACACCTTATTCTTCCTACTTGCTTACCTACTTTACTACACTTATGCACCAAGTGAGGCATTGTCTAAACCCCTAGCACCCAAATCAAATTCAACTTCGTTAGGGGAAGACTGGAGAATGCTACTTCGACTTTCCCTACCAAGTTGTCTGGCAGTTTGCTTAGAATGGTGGTGGTACGAGATAATGACACTTTTAGCTGGCTATCTTGAAAGACCTCAAGTTGCTCTTGCAACATCAGCTATAGTCATACAAACCACATCTCTCATGTACACACTGCCTTCAGCACTGAGTGCATCAATCTCAACGAGAGTAGGCAATGAACTCGGAGCAGGCAGACCATACAAGGCACGTTTGGCAACAGTGGTTGCCATAGGCTTGGCCTTTATAACCTCAGTTTTTGGCTTCTTATTGACTACCATAGGGAGAGAAGCATGGGGGAGGATATTTACAAAAGACACTGAAGTCCTAGAGCTAACACTGGCCACACTACCCATAATTGGACTGTGTGAGCTGGCCAATTGTCCACAAACAACATGCTGTGGGGTGCTCAGAGGAACTGCTAGGCCCTGTACTGCTGCAGGTATTAATTTCTACTCCTTCTATTTGATGGGAACACCAGTAGCCATAGCATTAGCCTTTTTTTGGGGACAAGGGTTTTTGGGCCTGTGTTATGGGCTTTTAGCAGCTCAAGTGGCATGCATGGTCTCTATCCTGACAGTGATAAGCAAGACAGATTGGGAAAGAGAATCACAAAAAGCAGTAGACTTGGTTGGAGAAACTTGCGAAAATAGGTACCAAGATGAAATTGCCAAATGTGAAGAAGGACACAACTCTCAGAAACAGAATAGCTTTGAAAAGGCAAATGGATTAAGACTCAAATAGCAATCTGAAGATGGTACTAACAGGGCAGATATAGCATACCCATCATTTTACTCTAGGCTATATGTATTGTATCCCGAACTATTCATCTACTACTGATTTTCTGTATGTAGACTGAAGTCAAACTACTCGTCAAACATTTAATATACGCACTGAAGAATTTCTGAACTAATAGCATGTCCATTCTTGCCAGAACAGTTCAATTAACACTCAAGACAAATGACATTCTGCTTTCCCTCAGAAGCACAACAAACTTACCAAGTAAACTTTTATCGTCCTTAGGGATATTCTTTTCTTTGTTCATTGAAGCAACAACAACAAATCCCCCAAACCGCCACAATTCTGCGATGTAATTAATGCTGCAATTACACCCAAACATTGAAAATTTTAAACATAAGCGAGATAATAGCAGTAAAGTTATAAAGAAATACGTGCATAACCACAAGGGCTGCTTTGTAGGCAGAAACATTCAAACAATTTATGAAAATAGTTACAAACAAGAAAGCTGGTGTTTTCTAGCTTTTACCATTTAGATGAAGGAAAAACAGTTAAAAAAAAAACCCCATTTCTTTAGCTCAGATGAGAACTCGGTCCTATTTGGAACTTCAATCTTTCAGATTATCATCTATTTAAGACAACACAAACTGGCTCAATAGGAAGCATGATATCTGAAGAAGCCAGTAGACCCACTTTTACCTGAGATAGCACCTTTGGCAGTTCCTAGCTTCTCAACCATGCCAATATTATGCTTCTTTAGGACGCAAATATCTGATAGTAACCCAATGGCATACTCCATTCACTTCTCTTACCACATTATCTTCCCCTGATCAGTCTTGACCAGTCAAAATCCTGACCAAACCTGTGGAAATAACTGAAAAATCAAATTTAACTCAATGAAGATAATGAAATAAGCTCTTTCAGTTACATGTATTTCTCATATACAATATTAAAAATATGCATAGCAACAAATCTGGACACTTTTACAAGACTCAATGCATAATATTTAAAACTGAACACTTCTTCTTTTGTTCATTTTACATTACATCTAGAAAACTAATCATTAACCCACATTTTTGAGTCATCAAGTATTGATTTTTCTTGATCATCCCAGTGGAACACGTTCAAGCACCCAGCCATCTACATGTAATTCGAAGGATCAAATTTGTGTTTTTGATTACCAAGCATGAGATGCAAGTCAATCCATACCCTCTGAAAAAGGCCCAACACTATAAACTGATAACTGCATTACCAGCGTATATTCAACAGTTCAACTCTTTCCAACAGATAATTAACTGATGCTAATACAACAATGAAAGGACCATTCATGTGCACATCTGCAAATTTTTTGTTTCCAATTTCCCATAGGATGAAAAAATTTGCTGGGATTGAATTTCATTTAGTACCTATTGAGGTCAGATAAAAACTAGATTTATAAAATTCGTATTTCGCTGAGGTGACAGATCATGATGGAAAAAGCAACCAAAAGAGAAAAAAAAAAGAAAAAATATAAAACAAGAACAAACTAAGTTTCTTTTTATCATAGGGCAAGTTGTATAAGCCAGCAACATGTATTTGAATCCATAATATCCTCCTGCATTTAGGTATACAAAGCAATGGCAAGACAGTGTAATTTGATGCAGTGAATAAGAAGACCTTCAAAAATATTTTGAAATGGCTATACATTTATTTCCCTGGAGACTAAGCGCAACAAAATGGTAGTTATCCGGAAATGGCATTCTATCAAAATTGAGTTCTTTGTCAATATTAAAAATTAAAAAAAAAAAAATTTGACATTTTGACCCAATTGATTTGATGGCTAAAATGCTACAGTCAGCATGTATTTAAGAATGGATAGATCTTTCACTTACTTCTTAGGTATTAAGATACTAAGCACTTTAAACATTTAACTATTCAGAAATTACAACTAGGTGCTACAACAAGAATGAATGAAATGGCATAATACAACCTTCAAAATGTTTAGATGGATAATACTACCTTTAATTCTTCTTTGTGTACTAGAGCCTCGAGGAACAGTAGCACTGATTTGATTTCATATTTTGGTAACAAGAAATTACTGAATACTTCTGGAACACCTGTCATCAACATAAACACGCTCCATTACTCCTGAACAACTGATTTGATTTCCTTTAACCACATCCCTACCAAACGCATCAAATAAGCCAATTTTGCACGTAACTGTTGGATGACAAAAACACCAAATGAATACAATAAAACACAGATCAGTTGATTTATTGCAATCCACTCACACACTCGAATGCTAACGGAAAAAAGAAAGCAACAAGAAGAAAATTCAAATAAGACAATCAAAAGCATAAAATCAGTTGATTTTTGGCCATGCAGCAGCTGAACAGCAGTTCAACTTAGCCATTGATACAAGGGCACTCCCATTTCTACACACAAAATCTTCACAGTAGCTCTGACTCATTTCCCCAAACTAACTTTTCATTCTTTCAAGTGACAATATCTTTAAATTCTTGGAGCTTTTCGAAAACATTCACTCTTTGACATTTCTTGTCGGGAACCCTTAATTCTGCAACCCACTTCTACCTTTCAAGAAAATTACAATTCAAAATCCATCCTTAGAAACCTCTCCCAAATCTTCCTCCAATTTTAAGAGTGATTTTAGCATGATTTACAGGAAAGAGACAAAAATTCAAAATCGTAAATGGCCATTAGTTCCTTAAACTCCTAATCACTTTATTCAACTTTAATAAAGCAAGAAGTCAGCTGAAATTACAGACTCCACCTAGAACTCTGTCAAAGGAGGTGCTCTGCTTCAGTAGACAGGGAATCCCATAAAGAAAAGTATATGTTTGTGCTTCAAATGGGATACCCTATTTCACCCCGTCAAATAGATTTCCAAAATGAGCAACAATGTGATACTCAAAAGCTAATTAAAGTTACCATGATACGGACTGATCCCAATTAACCAAGGATTATGACAGTTGCCCAGATACTCTGGTCTTAAAAGCAAGTTATTGTAACCCACCCCAGAAAAAGAAAAATAGTCTACAGCAAAATAATCATTGAAAATAAGGCAGAGAGATTTCTGAAGAACGCAGATCGTACTTGCAAGTAGAAAGCCCGCGCTTGCACAGTGGAATTCGTGTTGAAGGAGAGTCATCGACAGGCTTCCAAATTGATTCTACAATCAGTTTTGGTTCTTTCTTGTTTTTAAAGCATATTTTATTTGCCCTTTCAGGTGTAAACCAGTTTTAATTCAGCCCCAGTAGTTTATGATATTAGTACACACGAACTAGTGCAAGGAGTGGAAAGATCTACTACAATGTGTTCATATTTGGTTTTATTTGATTTGATTCATTTGATGAACCACTTCTATTGAGATTTCATCAACAAGAGAGTTTGATTGAGTAATTTTGTTTGTCTAGCCATTGGATTTTAGAAGATAAAACAATTTATGAACATTTTCTGACTCGTAGAAGACTTAAAATAAAGGCTACAGGTACAATTATCATGTTATTTTAAGTTTACATTCTGAAAAATGGAGTTGAAGATTTTTTATGGAGTGTTATTGATAATTAGAATGAGTTTATTCGAATAGAAAATTATATTTTCAAAAAAATTTATAATAATACTATGTCACTTTTTTCCCATAGTTGTCCAAAAAATAAAAAATTATTAAACAACAAGAATTTGTTCTATTAAACATTTGAACTCTTTTTGTTTAAGAGCATAAATTGCATTTTATGTTACAAGTTTTGATTTTATCTTTCTCTAGGACGCTTCTAATATTATTGTCTTTCCACCTATTTTGAAGTAACAATAGCCAATTTTAAGTTTAACAATTTGCATTTTCTAATCTTCATTTATCATGAACTCCAAAATAAAAAATATTCGTAGAGACGTCATAAAACATGATTTGAACACATCAAATATGCATGAATAACTACTATAATGATACGAAAATACATCCTACATTCAACACCTTTCTTTCATTTTTGTGTGTATATATATATTCTCCAAATACTAGTAGCCTTAGGAAATTATTAAAATCTCAAGCAAGGCTAGTTCCCCCTTTGTTTTAGTTTCCATTGCCAGAAAATTCAAGCAAAGCAATATATAAATAAAGAAAAAAAAAAAAAAAAAAAGGGATGAAGAGTGGCATTTGGGCCGTGATGAAGCAGTCTTGAATAAGTGTTAGTTGGACTAGATGAGGAGATGTCATCTTTGAATTGGGTCGGTGGACTGAATATGGTCTCTACCTCTCTGTCTCCATCGGCCGTCCTTCTTATCGTACACGTGCCCCAACAACTCATAAGAGTCCAAAAAAGACCTCAAGTAATTGAGTCACCCTCGAAATCTTGCTGTATGCGGTGGGGCCATTGAGAGTGAAAAGAGAAGAGCCCATTTTGTTTCTCTCTACGGTGGTTACATACTTTGGGCCCTTTCAACTCACAAGAGTCTTATCATGATGTGGCCCCCAAGGCCAAGTGAAAAAAAAAAGTAATTTTTACTACATGGAGTAGTACGCCACCTAATTATTATTAGAGTAAAACATTGGAGCAACGACCTAATTTCTCTTATTAGATGGAATAAGTAAAAACATTGGGCCGCAGGGGATTAGTCGGGCTCCGTAAGGATTGACTCGGATACCCCTGTATCGACCCAAAAAAAAAAAAAAAGTAAAAACATACTACGAGAGAGGTACTAACTTTTGAGTTAGTCCATATGGGTGTTATCGTAAACTTGTTGTTAAGCAACATCCTCCCCTTTCTTCTTCGGAATAAAAATCAATGGGTAATGACTCATTTTGAATGAACGAACTAATTGGTGGGGATTCGTTGCATTTCTTCAATTATAATCTAACCTTCAATCTCCATGAATGTTAGCAACTCTTCTTCCTTTTATCTAGAATTAGATTGTCGGCAAAGAGTTTAGGTCCCGTGTAAATTGATATTTTTCGAGATTTTTATAGAAAAATACATTATACTAATTTGACGTATATAAGTAAAATTTCTCTGTACCATGGAATGACTGCCAATTCCGGTCCAATCAATCTCCATAATTAGGGCAACAATTAGAAGTGGAAGGTAGGAAAGGTTTGTTTTTTTTTTTTTTTTTGGGGGGGGGGGGGGGAAGTGGAAGGTAGGAAAGGTTCACACGCTTGAAATTGTACCCAAATCTCGTAATTATTACAAGCCCAATGCGCAAGATATTTTCTCCTTTTATTCTTCCTCATTTGTAATTTTGAACTCAAGAAGTTGTCATCCTACCCGGAACATTTGTACCCAAATCTAGTACAATTTAAATTACGGAAAGTGTATCAGAATAATCCAACGTGGCGCTCAATTCTTGGGACGGTTTTTTAATACTAGGATTTACCCAAGTAAAATTAAGACACCGGGCAACGAAGCGTCTCTAGTTTTTACCTTTTTCCATTTGTAGCCCATTTGTGGTATCCACCTATTAGGAGATCCCATATGATTGTAAAATATATCGGCATCTTCTGCCATTCTATATAGCTAATTATAAAAGAAAAAGAAAAACAAAATAGACGATACTATTTTTTTTATCAGCAACGATACATGTGTATAACCTACTCTATCCTAATCTAGGGGGGAGGGGGAGCCTAAGGAGATTGTTGTAGGGGGAGGGGGTGAGGGACTTAATTCCTCCCTGGTGGACTTAATCCAAAGAGGGACTTAATCCCTCCCTGGTGGCCACTAGCCATTGGCCCAGTGGTAAAAAAATCTAAGATTTAGATGATGATATTATCAAGATTTAGATGATGATACGCAATCCACCACCACAAAAGGAAACTTTTTCTCTCTTCTCTCTCTTTTTTTTTTAAATAAAAAATATATATATATATAGCAAAAAGTAAAAAATTGGACAATCGTACACATTGGAAAGATACAGAGTGAATTAGGATAAGATAGTTTTTGTTCAGCAGCATTTAGTGAGGATTGACGCAATCAATTAATGACTCATCCGAAATTTGTTCGACTTTAATCACAGCCTAAGGTGGAGGGATACCGTCTATCTATTTTCTCTCCTCTTCTTTCTTTTACTACTTCACTTTTGTCTATTTCTGTGAGGTTAATGCTCGAAGGAAGTTAGTTGAACTTTAACAAGATGTCACCAAAACATTCGTTTCGTATCATGCATTATTCCAAATGGAATTTGCTTGCTTCACTAAAATTCTTAAACACACCAAACAAGATTGTATTTCTAAGATACAAAGTAGAATAATTAATGTTTGAAAATATTTTCCTTTGGATTGCAATTTTTCAAAGTTTTTTATGAAAAAAATGTACTGTAACGATATAATTTATGTGAGATAAAAGTGTGTGTTAGAAAATGTGTTAGAAGAATATTTTTAATTTTATTTTGCAAAAATTGACAATCCAAAATCATTAAAAAAACAATATTTTGAAAATCAGACTAGATTGACAGGTTTGTCCAGTCGAACAGCAAATCGGCTATACCTTTGGTCCGATTCAGTGATTAATCCGAAAATTCAATTGAATCAATCAAATCCAATCAATAATCGATTGACCGGTAAGATCGGGAGATTCAGCCGCATTTCACTAATTTTTTATTTTTTAAAACAAATAATTCAGTTTATTCAAATATTTTAATAAATAAAAAAATGATTAAACTGAGATTGAATTGATTGAATCAGACTGCGAATCAGAATTTCTTTCAGTTCACTCGTGGTTCGGATTTAAAAACATTGCTAAAATGTGAATAGGGAAGAAAAAGAAAGCGGAGAGTCTTTGATTTGGGTAGGATTTTTCCTGCTCGATGGTCTAACTTCATTGTGACTGGTGACCCTCCCTCCCAGATAGTCGCTGGCGCCGACGCGTTACAACTTCAGAATGCTGGTTGCTGCCTTGCTGGTCTTCATAGATCAACTTCATAGTGCTCTGCTTTCATTCCACCTGGCAACTGAAAAGCATCATCGAAATCGACCATTCGTCTTCTTCATTGGGAGATTTTTTTTTTTTTTTTTTTTTATTATTAAAGTTGTAAGGGTCGAATAGCTTGCTAGAGATAAGCCAATCAAGGATCATGTGTTGTTTGTTTATTTTGGGATGTGATTAATCACTAGCAAATTAATTTAAATGGTTCGACAGAACATTAGATCTATGCCTTTGAGTGCCCACCTGTTTGCTGTCTTTGCCTGCTCTCTACTGTCAACCTTTTCTCATCATTCTTCCTTCGCTGGAGGAAGATTTTAATCTCAAATTAAGGCCTTTTGTCCTCTTCCTCTATTTTTATTTTATATTTAATAAAATCTCTCATAGAATATTCTAGTGAGACTTTTTTCTCTTCTAACCTATCATAGCTAGTGGAAGTCTTATTTAGTTTTAATTTTTTTTTTCAGATTTAAGATTTTTTTCATATCTGTATGTGATATAAAATATTTTGAATCTTCTAATTAGATCTCAACATTAATTTTGAATTTGAACCAGTTATTTAGTTTTTTTTTTTTTTTTCAGATATAAGAGTTTTTTCAAATCCGTATGTTAGATAGAATATCTCGAGTTTTCTCGTCAGATCTCAATATTAGTTTTGAATTTGGACCAATTGAATAGCAGATATCAGAGAATAAATATGCACATATATTTATAGAACAACTTTTGCAATTGATTAGATCTTATAATTTTTGATTCACAGTGTAATCTGTTATATTTTGTAATTCTATTAAATTTAATAATTTATCAGATCATATATATATATATATTTGTGACATATGCAATGTATTTTCTAACATTAATGCAACTTTCTTTATTGATTTCCAACTAATTTATTAATAATATTGACTTCTATTTTATAAAAAAAATAGTTCGACGAGGCGTAGGTAACCCAAGTCGCCAATCACTGGTTCATCTAATTGTAAGAATTCTCTAAAGGATCGAGAACGAGTCTGCTTCCCAAACTACTGCGGTTGGCAAGTGGCAACATATGTTTGCGCGGTATGCTAGTCGGTGGTTGCTTTGGGAGATGCCGAATATTGGGATCGACATAGAAGCAAATTATGCATGGCTAGCAAATTCTACCACTTGTATACTCGAATCGACTTGGTTTAGTTGGGTCTGTACACCTTAGGGGTGCAAACGAATCGAACCGCTCGTGTCAAGCTCGACTCGAGTTCGAGCTGGCTCGAGTCGAAATCGAGCTCGAACTCGAGTTCAAAATATTAAGCTCGTTAGCTCGCGAGCCGGCTCGAGTATATATATATTTTTTATATTTTTTATTTTAAGTATATATATATTTTTTTGTTTTAAATATATATATATTTTTTATTTTAAGTAT